AAAAAGCAACACTGGCTTAGACTTTAACAGAACAATGTTAAATATATACTTTTTTTCTTGGTAGTAGTGTCTGTGGTTTGATTATTTAGGCTTGTATCTGTTCATTTCCAGGATAAAATGGCATTTGATAAATGGAAAGTGGATTGTAGTCGACTGGTTGGATAGGCCATAGGCTCTTCTGTCCAACTCAGTGGCATGGACGAATTCTGCGCTAGCTTTCCTCAGTAGCTAATGCAGTCAGACACTATGCCAGAATAAATTCCTTTTTTCACCCTCTGGTTGGTGTGCTTTTCGTATGAGAGTGAGCATGCCCTTGGAAGGGGGATACATGGTCGTTGTTTACTCCCAACAGGAGTGCACAGGCAGTTCCTGTTTGACCAGTTGTGCTGTCAGTTCTGTCACTGGTCTGCGCTTCTACAAAGTGTGCATGTTCTGTATGTGTATGTTGACGTGCAAAATGCATTTTAATCTTCCAGGCTGATTAGGGGGCTGGTTTTGGATCACGGTGCTCGTCATCCTGACATGAAGAAAAGAGTGGAGGATGCTTATGTTCTTACTTGCAATGTGTCTCTAGAATATGAGAAAACGTAAGTAAACAGCAACAAAGTGAGAAGCTGAAAATGTTTGTGTCTTAAAAGACTTTTATTGAAGGTGTGGTTAAATAAAAATAAGTAAACAGCAACAAAGTGAGAAGCTGAAAACGTTTGTGTCTTAAAAGACTTTTATGTAAGGTGTGGTTAAATAAAAACCAAAAAGACTGCATGGTCTTCTATACTGAGGCAGGTAGAGTATGAGGTGGAATGGAAGAGGTGATGCTCCTTCTGCAGTTCTTTTTTTGAAAAAGGGTGGCTGATAGCTGGGAAAAATCTCTTTAAAAAGCAGACCTTTGTACTGGTTTTTATTTTGTTGTTTCATTGAAGAAAGCCCAGGAAGTCTGTCCTTTTCTGGGCATAATTCTAAATATACTTCAGAGCTTGCTCAGTTTCAAATGTGAGCAGAAAAGCTCTGAACTAGAGAGCAGGAACAACTGTGTAGTGCATGCTGGTTTTGGGGTTGTTTCTTGTTAGGTTTTTAGGGGCGGGGAAGGGAGGGTTGGTTCTGAGTTTTTGTTGGGGGTTTTTTTTGAGTGTTGCTGAAAGTACTGATGCCTCATGCTTAAGTTTATTTCTGCAGCACAGAGGATAGTTGTTTTAACTGTTTTTTCTGTGCTTTTTCCTCTACAGAGAGGTGAGCTCTGGATTCTTCTATAAAAGTGCTGAAGAGAGAGAGAAGCTGGTGAAGGCAGAAAGGAAGTTCATTGAAGACAGAGTGAACAAAATCATAGACTTGAAAAGAAGAGTCTGTGGCGATTCAGATAAAGGATTTGTTGTAATCAACCAGAAGGTGAGATGAAGGGTATAACTAACTAGAAAAATTAATTAGAAATGCTAGCATTCTTGGCAAGTCATGTGCTTTACCTTTTTCTTTATCCTGATGGTCACCTTGTTTTGTTTCTAGGGTATTGACCCATTTTCCTTGGATGCACTTGCAAAAGAAGGAATAGTCGCTTTGCGGAGAGCTAAAAGGAGGAACATGGAAAGGTCAGTTCCTGGGGAGACAAGGGGGTAAAATAACCTTGAACAGTGAGTCAAGTCTGGGTTGAATGCACCTTCAAGGACTTAGACTAGAAAGTCTGCTTCAGTCTGTCCAGCTGCGGTCAGTGTAACTCAGGGTGGTTTGTACAAACCATAGCAGTGTCAGTTCAGCCGATGGATTGACATGGCAATTGGAGCTACTGGTAGGATTCAGTTGTCTTAAGCAAACTGTTCCAAGCCCAGGAAGTGGGATGTTCTATGTGCTGAAATACTGTTGTTACATTAGTGACTTAAGATTTTACTTACTACACAGCAAATGCTAAGCTGTATGTTGTTCTCTCTCAGACTGACCCTTGCCTGCGGCGGTACTGCCATGAACTCTGTGGAGGATCTCAGTCCTGACTGCCTGGGACAGGCAGGGCTTGTCTACGAGTACACGTTGGTGAGTGCAGCTCTGCTCTCATGAGGCCAGGTTAAATACGCAGCTGCTGATCTTGCTTGCTGCAAGCTGTTCTTTTTGTCTTTACGTCTGTGCATGGATTTTTAAGTATTTTAAGAGCTACACTGGAGCGTGAAGAAAGGCTGGTGGCATTTCACATCCCGGTGTCCACTCCACCTGGGTATTTGCTCTTGTTATAGTGAGTTTTCCTATTGTTATTACCATATTATGCTTTTGATATCTGCAAAATTGAGAAAACAGAAATAAGGTTCTGCTGCTGCTTATCACTTCTTGAAGTGCTGTTAGTGCAGAACTGAGTCTGAAGGTGTCCAGTTTTTTATTGTGTACACATTGATTAAGCAAATGTATGATAGTAACACACAACCATGCATTTCAGGGTGAAGAGAAATACACCTTTATTGAGAAATGTGAGAACCCTCGCTCTGTTACCCTGTTGATCAGGGGACCGAACAAGCATACGCTCACTCAGATCAAGGATGCTGTAAGAGATGGTCTGCGTGCTGTTAAGAACGCAATTGAGGATGGTAAGTCTCTGCTCTGTTTAACAGCGTTAGGGATCTTCTGTTGAGATCCACCTCAAAAATAGCTCGTTTTGTATCTGCTCCCTTGGTGTGTGATGCAGTCGGACACCAAGCTGAGTGTATTTCAATGTGAAGTGCTTTAGTTACTGTTCTTACACCCTGAATTTTACACATAATGACTTTGTAACTAACTTCCCAGCTCAGATACAGGCTGTCACTTTAAGGATGAGGGAAAAGGTCAAACTACACTAAAAATTTAACTGTTTTGATTGGGATGGGTGCTTACTGTGAAGTCTCAACACGGAGTTTTCCCTTGCAGGATGTGTGGTCCCAGGAGCGGGTGCCCTAGAAGTGGCAGTAGCGAATGCTCTTGTTAAGCATAAACCTAACGTAAAGGGAAGAGCCCAGCTTGGAGTTCAGGCTTTTGCCGATGCTCTGCTCATCATTCCTAAGGTATGAGGAACTCCTGAATTTAATAAAGTGGCTTTAAAGCACACTTAAGACGTATCGCTTTTGCTGCTGGAAGTCTCTTAATGAACAACGTGAATTGTCTCTGGTCTCTGAAAGGTTCTCGCTCAAAACTCCGGTTACGATCCCCAGGAAACACTGGTGAAGGTCCAGGCAGAGCATGCAGAAGCGGGGCAGCTCACTGGGGTCGATCTGAACACTGGTAAGAACTTGCTAAAATAACGGGATGATGCTCTAGTAAACTCGTGCCTTAGCTCCTTGGAGAACAAAGTTGCTCTGAATGCAGAAAAGAATATATTTTTTCATAAAAAGCAGTGCAAAATGCCTTGCAGGTGCTGCTGCAGTCAGGCTTGGCACTGTGTAGTAGTTAAATGCATTCTGGTTTAGTTTGTAGTGGAGATAAACCACACGGTAACACTGCGGTGGATGTAGCGTGTAGTATCAGCTGTTAGACAGCAGAAAGTCTTACTTTGAGTTATGTGAACTGGTGACTTAAAGTCACTCACACTACTTTTGTAGGTGAGCCCATGGTAGCTGCAGCAGCCGGAATCTGGGATAATTATAATGTCAAGAAACAACTGCTTCATTCATGGTAAGTGTTACAATATCTTCACTTGGCAATGGGTGTTTGATTGTTGAAACTGAGTAATGGTGTGGGATCAAGGGACTCCACGTAGAGGAAGCTGCCTCGAAAGACAGAAATTAAGCGGAGTCTTCCTTGAACTGTGTCAAAATGGATATCCTAACAAAATTTGTTTAATATTTCTAGCACGGTTATCGCCAACAACATTCTCTTGGTGGATGAAATAATGCGAGCTGGAATGTCCTCCCTTAAAGGCTGAGCTGGATCTGCTGCTGTTGACGGTGGCCAGCTCTGCTACTGCCCCGTGGAATATCAGAAATCCACCTGAAGGCGCTCTTTTTTCTTAGCCGTAGTGGATTTTCCCAGCAATGGAAATTACTCTGCTGTAACGAGCAGCCCCTCTTTGGTAAATATGGCCACTCAAAATATTAGCAACTACTCAAATATTTGGCTCTAAAAGAATCAGTTATTTATTTTTAATTTCACTGAAGTGCACAACTGAAGTTGCTTTCCTTTTTACCCAATAAACCGTTACGTTCTGTGCTTTGTGTGCGTCGGTTATTTAAAACTTTACCTTCCTTGAACGTTCTGCTCGCGGCCAAGGGCTGCAGGTCTTGAGCTGCAGTTTCTGGCTCCCAGCTCTGTGTGTGAGAGTTCATTATTGTTTCTGAAATGTGCCGTGGTAGCGTGTTCCCAAAAACACTGCTCCAGGCTCTGCTTCTGGAGGGGTGTGGGTTCAGGCCTGGAATTTGTCCACTGTAAAGCTGCTAAGCCAATTACTTCATTGTAACCCAGTGAGTTAATGTACTCCACAGCATCTGGAAGTGTGTGGAAAGATTTGTTCTGTGTTGTCATCCCTGTTGCAATGCACCTGTAGATTTCTAATGCTTTATGGATGGCTACCAGCGAACACAGCCTCAGCTCAAGCAGACCGTGAGGTGGTTGGGTTTACAGGAGGGGGATGTGTAGTGGTTTTCCCTCATCCCTGGTAGTTAACACATGGGAGCCTTCTTCCCTAAGCACAGGGGGCTGGCTGAATGACTAAAAAAGCAACCTTTTAAAACAAAACAACCTCAAAAACAGCAACAAAAAAAATCCCCTGCTTGGTGTGTGGTGGTTTTGTTACCGGCCCTGATAGCAGGAGGCTTCATCAAACCAGACATTCGTTATGGTTGGAAAAGACTTTGAACATCGTTGCTACGTTATGAAAGTTATCCTTTTTCTTAAAATAAAAGAAACCCAGTCGGGAGATGCTAAAACCCGCGCGGTGCCGTTCCCGGTGTGAGGCAGGGCCGGGCCGCCCTCCGGCCCTGCAGGAACCGGAAGCGCTTCCCGCCTTCCCGCAGCTCTTCCGGGTGTGGGGGGGGGCGCCGCGGTTCCCCGCAGAGGCGGGGATGGCGCTGGCCCGGGCCCTGCTCTGCTGCTGGGTGCTGGGCGGCAGCCGCGCTCCGTGGGGTGGGTGCGGGCCGGTGGGTGCTGCTGCTCGGAGGGGGGCCTCAAATTATCCCCCTGCA